GAAAACAGTCTATTTATAGAGGAAGTTTGGATGAAATTTGTGGGGGGGGGGGGATAAGTTTTTTAACAGTTTGGATATGCTGTCTCATTTCCTTTTAGATGCATCTCTTATATGCAAATTTGGAGCAAACTTGCAAAAAATAGCACTTTGTAATAACTTGAATTATTTGTAGCATCTTGAATTATTTTGAACATCTTGAATTATTTTGCATTGTAGTGAAAAGATGTCATGAAGCAATGAAATTAACAAGTATAGAAAATACTTAGAAAAATTTCCAAGTCTCGCAAATTTGGATTTTTAACTCTCTTGATTTTTTATGATCAAATTTCATATTTAGGATGTCTTTATGAAATGTGATTTTTGGGACTCACTTGTGGTCAAAAAGTCAAAGTTTGACTTTTTAGTGTACAATTGACTTTTTCCACCAATTGACTGAATTTCATCTACCAATCTACCGATATTTGGAGATGAATCGAAATATGCGATTAGGTCAAAACAACGCGCTCGGATCCTTGAGATCATGCTTCCAACCAATAAGTCAGGTACTAGGTCAAAAATCAAAGTTCGGTCATTTTCAATCAAAACCCTAATTTTGCCCATTTTGCCATTTTGATAATTTGAATGGCTTTCTTGGAAAATTGTGATCCATGACTTGAAACTTGACAGCAGTAATCCAGAGGAGCCATAATGATCCATGAAAGTCATTTGAAAGGTTATGAGTCCCACTGTCTTTGCGCAAACTCAAACCCTAGTTTGAGGCATCGGTGTTAAGGAGACGTCTAGACCTAGTCAGTACTTGTGCAAGCTTGAGTCATTGAAGATCTTTATAGAAAATACCTTGAGAAAAAGAGATGGCAAATTTTGTGGTACAATAGCTGCCCTGTTCAATCTTCTTAAACCTGAAGAGTTAGATTGGCAGATCCGCCATTCGTGACTTGAAGGTGGAAGATGATTGAACCCTAGAGTGCCCAGGAATTTGCACTCGACTATGTGTTAGTTGATTGTGTCAGGAATGTGCTTAAGGATGCCATTTGGAGAAGTGATGAAGAGTTTGTCAGAGATTGGCTTACAGATGCCATCCAGAGTGATCGAATAGGTCCTTTATTTTGATTGACTTTTCCTGCAAGGAAGAGGGTTAATTTCATGTAGAAGAATGCATGGCGTGATGATGTTCTCAAAATAAATGAGATTATCCTATATGCATTTGTCATGTATGTGATATGATGTATGAATGTGATATGCTTATTGAAGTATCTTTGTCTAGGAAAATAAATTCTTGACAAAATGTTGGGGAGCTTTGGGAAGTTAAATCCCAGAATACTGCTGGAGATGAAGAGTACGTTTATCTTCAAACTTTGTTTAGGATGTTTCTGCTAAGGATTCCTGCTTTTCTTGTTTGAGGAGAACTCCGCTAGGGAACATTGACTTTGCTTGAGAAGACTCTGTGGAGAGTGTTGATTTCTTCTTGGGAAACAGAATTCAAGAGTTTTAGGTGTCCATTGCTCTCGTGGGGAATTGCCTCTAGAAAGTTAGCTGTTATCTGGTCGGATTCCAGGAATCACAATAACTTGATGGGAATAAAGAATTTAATTGTTATCTGGCCAGATTCTAGGCTTTGCATAAACTCGCTGGGATGCTGGAAAGATCTAATAGGGAAGAGGAGTTTTATTAGTGATTTGTAAGAATTAAACTGTTATCTGGTCGGGTCTAGGTTTCAGCAACTCGAATTGTTAACTGGTCGGGTCTAGGCTTTGCAGTAGATGGAGAAGTTAAGTTACTATCTGGACGGGTCTAGGCTCTTGCCACTTGAAATTTAAATTTACTTTTATCCGGTTGGGTCCAGTCTTCCGCAATTTGAAATTGAGATCAATTGTTATCTTGTCGGGTCCAGGTTTCAGTAACTCAGACTGTTAACTGGTCGGGTCCAGGCTTTAGAAATTGGAATTATTATTTGGTCGGGTCCAGGCTTCCTAATTTTAAACTGTTAATTGGTCGAGTCCAGGCTTCAGCAATTTATACTTGAGGTTAATTGGTATCTGGTCAGGTCCAGGATTGAACTGTTTACTGGTCTGGTCCAGGCTTAAGCAATTTGAGAAGTTAAACTATTATCTGGTCGGGTCCAGACTTTAGTAACTTGTAAATGAGGTTAACTGTTATTTGGTCGGGTCCAGTCTTCCAGTAATTTTCTTGAATATATGAAGTTGAATTGTATCTAGTCGGGTTCAGGCTTCGCAGTAACTTGCTTTAGAGGAATGCAATCAATTGTTATTTGGTCAGGTTCCAGGCTTCACAGTCACTTTCGGGATAGTAACGACTTCGTTGGCGACTTCAACTGGGGATTAGGGGTTACGATCCCTTGATTTGTAATAGCCTAAGAGACAATCTCAAGCTAGGGAATATGTAGTTTGTTTGGAAAATAAACTCTGTTGAAGAGGATATTTGACGAACTGCTGTGGAATGTGTAGTTTGTTGGGGAAATAGACCCTATTGAAGAGGATATTTGACGAACTGCTGAGGAATATGTAGTTTGTTGGGGAAGTAAACCCTATTGAAGAGGATATTTGATGAACTGTTGGGGAATCTGTAGTTTGTTGGGGAAATAAATCCTATTGAAGAGGATATTTGACGAACTGTTGGGGAGGATATTTTTTAGGAAGAATTCCATAAAGCTTCCTTTTAAGATCAACTCAGTTGGGGAGAGGATCTTCCGAAGATTGAAACTCTAGCTGGGGATTTTATGAATCCAAATAATGTTATTGAATTGTGTTGAGGGTGCATAACTCCGACTTCGCTTTCTAATTATTTTTAACGTGTTTGTTGACTTGTGCAATGTATATTGAGAGCTTTCGATCGTTTAATTAATGCATTGATTATTCAATCGAAAAGCATGATATACCACTTTATTTGTGGATTTGTGGATTCGCTTCCGACGCAATTTACTTTGATTCTCATTTCATGAGAAATATGCACGGTATGTGTTTTTGTATGGATGTGAATTTGTGTGCAGGTGATATGTTTATTGCAGATGTGTCTGACACGCATTCTCATTGTGCGTTATTGATCGACGCATATTTTGAGTATTATGTTGTTGATGCTAGCTTGCGCGAAGATTTTTGGAGTATTTCTGCTTTTGCTTGCTTGTTACGAACTCTTGTTTGTTTGGTATTACATTGATACTGATTTATGTTTCCGCATCATTTACCGTTTTCCTTGCCATGAGAAGTAGGATAGAGATGCATGTTCTGGGAGTCTCTTTGAGGCATATTTTGTTTATTTAAAGACCTGTTTAAGGAAATTCTTACTTGTACTTGTTTACCATTTTGTGTGTTTACATTTGTGCCAAAGACCTCGACGAAGGCGTCTCATTCTCATTCCTCATTGATAAGTCCTCAAAGAAGGCAATGCGACAGAGGATCTGCAATCGATCCCGCCATTTCTTGTCCATGTCGTTCGTAGCACGCGTCGTGCATTGATGCTATGAACTGTGTTGCTCATGTTATCAAGCCGGTCAGATGGAAAAGGGATTCGTAACCAATCGCCCACAATTTGTCTTTACCTCGAGTTTGTGAAACAGTGTTGATTGATGCGAACTGCGTTTGTGTCTCGCTTTTATTAGAAACTCGAAACCAACTAATTTTAATTTTTGTTTTAAAATGTCCTTCCCGATAAATATCATCGCCTTAGATTTACATAACAATAATAAATAATAGTAGATTGATTATTGATCTATGTGAGTTCGACGATCCTTTTTACTATAACTGATATTTCCGTGTTCTTAGGTAATGCATCAACCATGAAATTCAGGTGACAACCTGGCTTTTGGTTAAGGTCATTCCAGCATTTTTGGTTTTATCATAAAGATATCCGGCTAAAATGAAATTTTGGGATGTACAAGAGATAACCATCATTCAAACTAATATGACTCAGTAACTGAGGTTACACTCTCCACATATTCAATAATTAAATTTGACTCAATGTTCCAAATATAAATCTACCATATAATAATACTAGTAATTATAAACTATTATCAAATTATGAAATTTAAGTTTAAATTCATACAATATTATTAATTAAACTTTTAAATCAATTGCAGATTTATTTGACCAAATAATAATAGTGGTAATAATATAATATATATTTTTTGAACTAATAATGTTAAAGTAGTATTTTATGAAAAATGGTTAAATGTATTTTTAATCTCTATAAAATTATTAATTTTGTTTTAGTCTCTAAAAAAAATTATTTATTTTAGTCTTTACAAAATTATTATATATATGTAGTTTCAGTTTCTGTTATTAAATTAATATATATTTTTAAATAATAATTTTATAGATATATTTACAACGTTATAAAAATTTTCTAAAAAAAATAAATTTAAAATTAAATTTTTAAATCTAAATTTATATTACTTTTATCATTATCTTTTGTAATTAAAAATATTTATATTTAATTTTTCTCATTTTAAAAAATTCTAAAATTTAGTAAAGAAATATTTTAGAATATTCTAAACATATATGAATAAAATTATTCAAAAATTTAAAGGTAATTAAACAGTTTTTAAAATTTTAGAAAATAATAGAAAATAAAATTGTATTATAAATTTTTTTTTGTAAAGATTAAAATATATTTTTTATAGAGTCTAAATATAAAAGTTGAGATATTTATAAAATCAGAAACATATTTAATATTTAAAATATAAAATCTTACTATTATAAATAATTATATTTGAAATACATAATATATTTATTGATTAAATCTCTAAATTTAAAGGTAACGTATTTGAACAAATAATAACGTATTTGACCAAATAATAATAATAAATTGTTTGACTACAATATGTGATTTCATTTAATAAAGTAAGATTTGATTTTTAAATATTTTAAATGATCGAGAAAAAAAGTTAAAATATGAGTTGTCATTTATCGTTAAGCATAATACACTCTAAAAAAAACTTATATATAAGACCCTATTGCAAACTAAGGTGGATAGAAGAAAGAAGAATGAGTGAAGGGAAACCTAAAAAAGGGAGAGTTATGGAGGAAGAAGTAGATTTGTTCAACTATCTTCCTGATGTGCTTCTAATTTCCATCATTTCTTTACTTCCAGGTATGGAAGGTGTGAGAACAAGTGTGCTTTCCAAGCGTTGGGAGTCACTATGGAAGTACTCTTCTCACCTAGGTTTTAGCCAGTTACAAATGTTGAAGTCCATGGTCAAAGAGGATGAGGTCTTAGATATAGTTGGAGAAGCTTCCATATTGATTAAATCAATTATGGAGAATCACATTGGTGTTTTAAAAAGTTGTAGCTTTCAACATTTGGGTGTGAGTTCTAGAAATGGGGATGTTGTAGGGTGGTTGAAAAAACTATTGGAGAAAGGGGTTCTTGAAGTTTCGATGGAATGTGAATCTGATGATTATCTTCATAAAGTAACAAATATGACTTCAAGGGATGTTTCTAGTACTCTTACATTACCTTTTCATGTTTTCTCTAGTTTTAAAATTCTTGAGTTGAAGAACTATAATTTTAAAACTATACCCACACCTAATCCGCAACAGATTTTAAAAACTCTCATCCTTAATAAAGTGAGTATTGTATCAAATTGTTTTCAAAGGATTATCTCTCATTGTTTGCTTCTTGAAAACCTAACCCTTGAGAAATGCACTTTCACAAGAGATAGGATTAAATTTGTAAGTCCAAGTCTCAGATATATTAAAATTTGTCATTTGAAGGCGAGCATGATTTTGGTTTCTGCCATTAATGCAGAAGTCATAGAGATTAACTCTATTGTTTGTGGTTATGAAGATATGGTTTTTAAGACCCCAAAACTTCATGTTCTGTGTGCTTACAATGATGTGAAAAGCCTTGAGCAAAATTTCTCTGCATATGAAAATAGGTTATTGACATCAAGAGATATTATTGGAATTTGCGGTGGCATTTTGGTAACTCTAATTAACATTAATACATTTTGTTAATTTTCATATCTATTTGTTTGATAACTATCTTTTTTTTTTATTTCTTAGTGCCGTCGAGGTTCAAGCATGGGAACTATATTGAAAAATTTGGTGACTCTTAGTCTTGATTTAGATTTGGATGATAAAAGAAATACTGTAGCTATTTCTTTTGCCCTCAAGTCTTGCATCCAACTAAAGAATCTTCAGATAAATAACCAGGTAAGCTTAGAATTTCTTTAGCAATATATTTCAATTGTGTTTATTTTTTTGTACACATTTTCAATTATCCTAATACTTAGAAATGGTGTGTAGTGTCAATTTTGATTACAATATAAATATTTTTTATATTCTGATTGTAATTCAATTAGTTGTTTTTGACCATATTATGATGTGTAACCATATATACTCTAGGTCAATTGGGATTGCAGTGATGGAATAGATGATCAGAATGGCATTGATTGTCTTCCTTACTCTGGAGGTTTGTTTTGGCCAAAAAGGGAGCCATGCGAGTGTGTCAGCCAGAATCTAAAGTCTTTTTGTATAAAGGGATACAAAGGTGGAGAGTTTGAAGTTGAATTTGTTAAGTACTTAATATTAAATGGTGGAGTTATAGAGAATATTACCATTTGGTTTTTGGATGATTGCTCATGGGTTAAAGCTGTAGCAACTATATGTTTGCTATCATATCCAAGGATCTCTTCCAAATTGTCCATTCATTTGAAGCCTGGACAAAAATATATTAGAGAACATGGTGGTAGCTTTGAAAAGTGGGTAAGAACCCTAAAATAAAGTTAGGATGCCGCATAATATATTGATAGTTAATAAAGACTATTGTGCTACATATTGATAGTTAATAAACTTATTGTCTCTTTCAAAATAAACAAGTCATGTTGTATTGTATGATAAAAGGAAACAACATATACACAAATTTAATTAAATGCTCATATTGAAAATTATTATACAAGACTACATGCATAATGTGACTAATTCAAGCCTTTTTTTTTTACAAATATTATATGTTAATGGATGTCTTTCAAGATTAGTAGAATAGTTGTGCTTTGGCTTTTATGATTGTCTTTTCATAAGCTAAAATATATGTTTTAAGTTTTGTTGATGTCATATCCCTCTAAGAATTTTGAATAAAAAGTATGCGGGTAAATAAGCATTTTTATCAAGCAAGAACATTTGTATTATAAATTTATATATTGAAAACTCATGTTTGACAATGTTTGAATTTATTGGTAGAAGGCTTGAACCATTTCAAATAAAGCCTGGTAACTTTGTTCAAAATTAGGAAGATATTATGAGTTGATTCAATAGGTGTTTGAATATTTTCAACCATTATAAGGGTGATTTTCAAAATTTCTATAAAAATAATCTTGAATTGATTCAAACAAATAATGATGGAAGACATTCTTATCGCATGCATAAAATAATGATGTGAGACATCTAGAGAATGATATTCTAATATATTATTCTAGTCATAAATGCTGACTATTTATAGATACAAAAGATACATGATTGTATAACTAATTCATAATCTTAAGGGAGCTCTTATGTCGATTTCAAACATCAAGGCATGAATGATTCAAACTATAACAAGTCATATGCACACTAATAGGAATGGTTGGTTACACCTAAATTATAGAAGTAACTTATAATCAAGTTATATGCACACTAATAGGAATGGTTGGTTACACCTAAATTATAAGAGTAACTTATAATTATCTGTTATTATGCCTCCTCAAAATTTGGTCACCATCAATGACACAAATTTTATCTCTGAGAAATGAAAATCGGGTTCGATGCATAGGCTTTGTTAGAATATCTTCCGGCTGGTCTTTTTGTAGAAATATGAGAGACTCGTATTTTTCCAAGTTGAACCATCTGTCGCACAAAATGATAATCTAGAGCAATGTGTTTCATTCGAGAGTGAAATACTGGATTGGAGTGTAAGCGGGTTGTTCCAATATTTTCACAAAAGAGAGTAGGTATGTGATATGGTACTCCAAGTTCACTCAATAGATTGAGCAACCAGATAATCTTCGTTGTAGTATTGGAAGTAGATCGATATTCTGCTTTTGTGGATGATCTTGCAATTGTTTTCTGCCTTTTCGATAGCAATGAGACAGGGTTTCCACCAAAGTAAATTATGTAAGCTGAAGTAGATGTTTTGTCATCAAAGTTACCTCCCTAATCAGTATCAGTGAAGGCTTGTAATTTGAGATGAACTGGTTTTGCAAGCCTTAGAGCATGATTAATAGTATGTTTGAGATACCTTAATACTCTCTTGATTTGCTGGAGGTGCACTTGAGTTGATTGATGCATGAATTGTGACAATTTATTAATCGCAAAGGACTGATCTGGCCTTGACAAAGTGACATATTGCAATGCACCAATGATACTGCGAAATTGCTTTGAGTCGACAGCGGTAGATCCATCATGTAGTTTGAGAGGAGTAGTCATACATAATGGTGTGTTGACGGACATTGCACCAGCCATATTGAACTTATCCAAGAGTTCTCTAATATAACCATGTTGAGATAATAACATACCCTCTTTGGTTGAAATCATTTCAGTTCCAAGAAAATAATGAGGGAAACCAAGTTGTTTGAGAGAAAACTTATTGAAAAGTTTTGTCATGAAATAATTTAAAAAGGTAGTATCACTGCCCGTCAAAAGTAAGTCATCAACATATACTAATAAGAATGCTTGTACACCATGTTTATTGTAAATAAACAAGGAGGAATCACTTAGGCTTGTTTGAAACCCAACAGAAAGAACAAAAGCCTTGAGAGAACCATGCCATGCTCGAGGTGCTTGTCGTATACCATAAATAGCCTTCTTGAGTTTGCATACATGTTGGTGTAAAGGCCACCCTTGTGCAAGTGCTAAAGTAAGAACCACTTTAATGGTTTGAGATTTCACAACTGGTGCAAATGTTTCCTTAAAATCAAGACCAGGTGTTTGAGTGAATCCTTTTGCAACCAATCGTGCATTATAGCATGCCACACTTCCATCAGGATTTCTTTTGATGCGAAACAACCATTTATAGCTAACTAAATTAGTGTGAGTTTTACGTGGAACCAAGGTCCAAGTACCATTGTTCATGAGTGCATTAAATTCAGCAGAACAAGCATCTCTCCAATGTGGTATTTTAAATGCTTGAGTAATGGTAGATGGCTAAAGATTTTCCTGTAACTCATGTTTAGTGGCAGTAAATAACTTCTTGGATTTGAATATATTATTTTGGGACCTTGTTACAATAGGATCACGTTGAACTGGATTATTTGTCTGTGAATGTTGGACCTGATCGTGTGCATTATTGGTGGTAGAACTTGTTAAATTATCACTAGTCACTGATATCTTTTTTGTTACAGATGACTCAATAGGAAGCATTGACTCAGGGACTGGTGTAGGATTCGAGGCAGGAACTGGTATAGGAATCGATACCGAAACTGATGACTCAGATGTAGGTGTACAACTAGGTACATATGACAAGGGTACTCGTGTTTAGTTCGGTACAATGGCTGGTGCAGGACTGGATACTGTTAACAGGAGAACGGGTGGCAGACATAGATGACTCATGCACTAGGGACTGGTTTAGCACCGAAGCTGAACTTTGATCTTGGTTAACATGAATAATACTATGTACAGTAAAGTCTGGTGATGGAATTAGAGGACAAGTAGACGACGAGTTAATTATGGATTGATATGGGAATGAATTTTCCATAAAATTTACATGTCTGGATACATATATCCTATTTAACAATGGTTCAAGACAATAGTTTGCATGTTGTGACATGGAATATCCTAGGAATATGCAAGGTTTAGACCTCGTTTGGAGCTTATTTTGCATATATGGTTTTCGCCAGGGAAAACACAAGCATCCAAAGGAATGAAGTTTATTATAATTTTATGTGCTTTTGAAAAATACTTCAAATGGTGAGACCATATTAATGTTTGGTTTAGGCATCCTATTAATAAGGTACACAACAATGGTGAAAGCAAAGGACCATAATTGAGAGGGTAAATTAGCATGATGCAAAAGAGCACGATTAGTTTCAACAACATGTCGGTTTCGCCTCTCTGCTGTGCCATTTAACTCAGGTGTGTGCGGTGGTGTGGTTAAATGAGAAATACCATTATTGGCAAGAAACAATTTTAATTTGATAAATTCGCCTCCATTATCAGTGAAAAGAGAAACGATCGGCAAATTAAAGTATTTTTCAACAATGGACTTCAATTGAACAAAAAGAGAGAAGACATATGACTTATGTTTCATTGGATACAATCATACATATTTGGAAAAATGATCAACGATGATTAAATAGTATAAATAACCATCTAAGGATCTAACAGGAGCTGGGCCCCAAACATCAGCGTACAAAAGTTCCAAAGGTTTGCTTCTTGTGAGATGATGATTTGAAAAAGGAAGCTTGTGGCTTTTTGCACAATGACAAGAACTACACTCATGTGAGGCTGGAAGCTTTATTTGTAGATGATGATTTTACGTCAGATGCTTTATTATTTTGAAAGAAGGATGTCCTAATTTATGATGCCATGTAGATGTAGAGTGGATGCTTGAATGAAATGCTTGTGGTGGACTGGATGGACTAAATGCATGAGATAGATGATAAAGATCTTGTTTACGAGGTCCTTGAAGCAGGGGTTGACCCGAGTTCAAGTCCTTGACAACAAAATGATTTGGAAAAAATTCAACAGAACAACCATTAGATTGGCATAACTTGGAAACAAACAAAAGGTTAGATTGAATTTTAGACACACATAAGACTGGTTTAAGCTGAAGAGGTTTGACAGAAATATTAATAACAAAGTTACCAATGTGAGTAATGTTCAAACTTGTTTCATCACTAAAAATCACCCGATCTGCTCTAGGATAAGGATTTGTTAACTTGAGCTGTTGCAGGTCTTGAGCAATATGATGAGATTCTCCAGTGTCCATGATCCAGTTACGATGTTGTGTTACAATATACTTCTGTGCAAGGTTCGCTGTTGGTTTAGGGCCATTCCGTTTCAGAAATCCATTAATTCTGTAGCAGGTTTAGGCAGTGTGACCAGCCTTGTCACAAAACTGACAGACCACCTTATTTTCGCCATTCCTCAAAATTGGAGAAGAGCTACGTTGTTGTGGTTTTTATTTTGATAGTTTTTTTTCTTGTGACTACATTGGCAGTTGCAATCACATTATAAATTGTAAGTGGATCAGCTTGGTGATGAATTGTTTCAAAGTCGATCAGTTTCTCATGAATTCAACAAAGGCAACTAGACATTCTCTGCTTCTAAGTGCAGAGGAAATTTCATGATACTCAACACTCAAAGCATTGAGAGTATGAATAACAAGGTCAATTTCATCAAGAGGATGATCAATGATTGAGAGTTCATCCGAAATTGCCTTTATTCCTTGAAGATATATAGCCATCGATTGGTTTACTTTTTTGAAATTGGAAATCCGTTGTTTGAGTGCGATGATACATAGTCTGAGCGGCCATCGTACATGGTTTTTAGGATCTCCCATGCTTGATTGGAACTTTTGACAGTTCCTAGGTTAGTGACTACTGTTGCAGCCACAGATGATACGATTCCATGTAGAATCAGTTGATCTTGTCGAACCCAATGAGTAAAGGCTGGATTGACAGTCGTGGTATTGGTCTCGAGTTATTTTGATGGACAGGGCTTAGTTCCATCAATATAGCCTAGGAGATCATAGCCTGTTAAAAGAGCCATGAACTGGATTCTCCAGACAGGGTAATTGTCTCCATCGAGTT